ACACATATATTTTTAAATGAAAAATAAATAAATAAATGAATAACTCTTCGATTTTAATTGCGATACATAATCAAGAGATGGGTTTTCTTTTATATTACAAAAACTATTATAGATTTACCGAAACCAGAAGGTAAATGTTGCTCTATATGTGTCAAAACAAAATGTATAAGGACACACAAAAGTATATAATCACATCACAATTTTGGTTTATGAGAATTATTAAATCACTTTGGCGAGGAACGAAAATCCTGCTATTAAACTTTAGCCAAAACATATCTTCTATTTGAAGGGAATCAAACCCTTTTGATCAAACTTAGGAAAGCTAACAATAATCATGCATTAACCAAACATAATCCAACCAGAAAATATAATTTGGTATTACTTTATGCATAAAACAAAAAACAAAACAACAAAAATTGGTCCTACAATATAAAGAATATAAAGAATCGACAGTAAGGCACTCTTGATAATATGAAAACTTTCAATACATACTGCAACCTTGCAGGTTATTTCCATGTCAATGTCAAAAGTGGAAAAGTTGCAGAAAATACCAAAATAATAATAATAATAATAATCTGATTATTGTTCAGAATTTTCCTGAATGCAGCAATCGAAAAACATGAATAACTATAACTCAATCCAATCTTTTGAATCAGAAAATTGAAACCAAAATTCAATGTAATCTCAACCTAGAGGTCGAGTTGTGGAAATAGTACTACACGATAAGCCAAAACAAAAATTGGTGAATGAAATGATAAATAATTTGCGGAAGCAAAACCAGAATCATAAATAAATAAATAAATAAAAAGACGATATGTTAATATCAAAAATAAAACCCATGCCATTTTATCCATCTCATTTGAGTTTCATTGAAGGATATTAAAAATTGAACCCTAAGGATGTTGAGTTGGCTCTGATACCACATGTAAGAATACACCTCTAGCGGCATATCAACATCACAAAGGATTACAACATAAGACTTATGCAATATTAATAACAGATTCACTATTGATACATAATTGTCAAGGAATACATAGATGAAACAAGAACGATCTTCTACTCTCTGCAAGTCTCAATATGTTCTAGCTATCAATAGGTCAAGCCCAAAATAGAACTTGGCGACTTGTGAGTGCAGGGATCAGGTCCTTTTATATTGATCAAACCTTAACCATATCTCTCCTATTATAGATAGAGTTAGTATTTAAACAAACTGATAAACGTAAGCAATTGAGTCCTTATCAATATAATATAGCAACCAAGTCTGTCAAAACTAGGAGTCTTAGTACAACTGATAAATACAAACCCTATTATCTTGTTCTAATATGATAAACACAACATGTGATTATGCCAACTCACATAAGTCATCTTACAACACTTCCTCTTTTATTTTAATCTTTTGCCTTATGTCCTCCGATTTTGTGGTTGTCAACTGAATGAATGTCTGTGCGTACATTTCACCACAAACAGTACATTAGAAGCTCAATGATCATCAGCCCTGAAGCTGAAGGAGAATAAACGTGAACTAAATAGATATCTAGCAGAGAGATTCATTACTAACCTGCACATTTCCAATGAGATATACAAATAGTAGCACACCAGTGATAGAAATAAGGATTGCAAAGAAGTTTTCCCACACATAAATACTTGTTGTGAGATTCGTGCCAAAGTTGCTGCAAAAATTAAGCAAAGGATCAAGCAAAATGTGTGACACTAAAAGTGATTCGCGGAGGAAAGTAGTTATAAAGCAACTTATTTGGTTATCTAACTTTCCTTCTTCAGCTGTTTGTTAAGCTTTTGTATGATGAGAGGAATTTAGGAATCTAAAAGGATTCATTCTCTTTGTAAGTTTAGTTATCACATAAAAAAGAAAAAGTAGTTAGTAATAAATTAACACATCAAGTGGTATACGAATATGGCTTCGAACTTATGTTTAGTTTGAACATATATACAAAAGAAAATGCTGAAATTGTCAAATAATTAAATATGTACGTGCAAGCAAACCTTAGATTTCTCAAGCCCCACCAAAAAGAGAAGCATAACTTGGTTGGAAAATTTATATCCCCCGTGGTACCATTTTTCTTAAGGAAATCAAGAAATATTCCATAATCAAATGGCATAGTGTCCTCTGGAAATTCTACACCACAATGTTCATCGAAAAATGAAATATTTCTTATAGTAGTAGCATTGCGATCATCACAATAAAAGGTACTCATGCATCCTGTATAATCTGTAGTATATCTTTTACAAGCTCGGTGCCAACATGATGTCTCTCGTTGAACGGAAAAGAAATACCAAAAGGCTCCACGTACCTAAAAGTTAAACCAGTACAATGTTGATAAATATGGAACTTGCTAGTGCTCAATAATTGAATTTTGGAAGTGCTCAATATATATATATATTACCACATCAATTAAGCCAGCACCATATGGTCACTTTTATTGTAAATGAAGTTCCAGTTCATCAAGCATTTTATTACCAAAATAAATATTAAAATGAAAAAAGTAAAACTTACATGGCTGGCAAGAATGTACAGAAAAAAATTGAATACGGCTTTGACTCGTATTCCAGTTGTCCTTATAAGTTTCTTGGATGATAAGATCATTCGAAAAATCCTCGGCAAATACTGAATGAGAAGAAAAATGTTCAAAACCTTCCTGTGTTCCAAATATTCCGGCCCTTTCATTTTGAAGAAAAGCACTACTACTAAAATCTGACATAATGAATAGTAATGGGTTAGAAATCTATTATTTAAAGCTGGAAAAACCTAGCTCATAATCTACACAAAAAAATAATAATTTAATTTCTCTTACTTGTGGCATGGGAAGAACAGAGAGAAGGTCAGTTAAGAAAGAGAGCCATGACAAATACCCAGCAAACTTCTTAGCAAATGGAATTATCTAATTTTTTTTCAACGTTGGTTGCCAATCCAATTGCCACTGTGACTTTCCTTTTGTGATTGCCTTGTAGGCCTTATTGCCAGCTTCCCAAATTTGATATCCAATATCCACTAAGAAAGTGATGTCTGTGAGAGATCGCAAAATAAGAGCCACATTCCTCAACTTTTTGTCCATTCCAAGACATTTCTTTTCCTTATCGATGAATGGAATGTAAAAGAACAAGGGATCTAGGGAAACTGCAATAACACATGAAATTATAATTATCTTATTCCACAGTGAAGCTGAAAGAAGTTTTGTTTCCCATTTTTCCTTTGGTCTAAGTCCTCCACTTTTGGATGTGGGATGTCGTGCTTGCCCCTTAGCATCTTCCTTATTGAAAGCTATACCTTGTGTAGTGCTGATTAAAAGAAAAATGCAATCAGAAAATTAAGAGAAGTAAACCGACTTAACGTAGAAATTAGAGTATCTAACCCAAAATCAAAATGAAAAGTAATACATATATATACTTGTAAAATCTTATGATACTCACTAGGCACCCCAATTAGTGTACAGAAAGAAAAATAAAATAAAGAAGAGAGAGAGATAATCATTTTAATACACGTGACAATTACAAATAAACATAAATGCTAACTTTTCACACAAATAGGATAATACTGTGATTTAAAATGTATGGTTAAATCCTCTAAAAATGACATTGGTATAAAAGAAACAAACCTTACGATAACGGAATCATCACTATGCTGTGCAGCGATAACTAGCCTTTTTATAAGTTGGATAGGAGTGAATAAAGAGATTAGAAGAGAAGAAGAACCTTCTAGAAATAAGGATGATCTGTGAGGCAGAAACGGAATGGAAAGGGTTCTTTTGCAAGTAAAAAAAGCTGTGGGGGGTTACTAGGCAAGTTCGTGAAATCTATAAGCGCTAGTTTGGCATTGCTGTGCTTTTAAAAAAAAAAAACTGTTTCTGCTATGCTGCGAGAATAATCAGCTGTGAAAAAAATCAATTAGGAATTTGGTAAGCTATATTTGAAAAAGTGCTGTGAGTAATCAAAGTGTTTGGTAAATTTTTATCAGAATTACTTTTAGTGTGTATACTGACAAAAAAGGACATGATTCATGATGAAATTATTTGTTGTTTTCTTATTTCTTTTTCTACTTAAAAAAAACCCTTTATGCTACATTTTTTTTTCTTTTTTTAATTTACACTTTTTGAGTCAGAACTTTTTCGTCTCTTTGTCTCTTTTTCTTTTTATTGGGAACCCTTTTTATTTTTCCAGATCTCTGCATCTCTTTCTGCTGCTCCTTTTTCATCTTCTTCTTCTCCTTTCTCCTTTCTCCTGTCACCTGCTTCTTCTTCTCCTTTCTCTTTGCACTTTTTTTTTTTCAAAAATTTTCTCTTCTACTCCTTGTTCTATTTTTCTCCCTCTGCCCAGAGAAGTCGTCCTCCTTGCACGGTCGTCATCGTCGTCTATAGTCCAAGCCGTGGAGTCTTCGTCGTCTGTCATCGCTGTCATTGTCGTCTGCCATCAGTGCTTGTCTGTCATCGTCGTCGTCTACAGCCCATGGTCGGAGGTTGTGGTTGTGGTTGTGGTTGGAGATTGGGTGGGGTTTGTTGCAGATGATGAATAGAAAAAGGGAGGTTGTGGTTGTGGTTGGAGCTTGGGTGGGATTTGTTGCAGACGACGAATAGAAAAAGGAATGAAGAAGAAAATGGGAGTCTGCAGAATTGGGAAGAAGAGGAGTTTGCGTCGCTCGATTGTATTGGAGGGACAAGGATTGTCTATTTGAAAAATAAGTGAGGGCTTTATGGGAAAGTAAAACATTCATTAAAACCACCGGTTAAATTTTTTTAAAAGCTGGGTTATGCCTGCTTTGGAAAAACAGCAGTCATTGACCGCGATTTTTTTAAAAAGCTGATTTCTGATGTTTACCAAACACCTTGGTTGTGCAAAATTTTTATTAAAGCAGCTTTTTTAAAAATTTAAGCAATGCCAAATGCTACCTAAGTAGGGGCAATGAGTTCTATTTCCCTCCGTTGACTGACCAAGACTTTGTTTTTTGGACTGATTACGAATCAGCCAAGACTTTGTTTTTTGGACTAATTACGAACCCAAGTGCCCCTGTACCGGCCGGTCCATTTCTAATATCTTCTTCCAATGAATTCTTTCCATTTTTTACAAGGAAATCGAAAGCATATTTCTTATAGTTTTTTTTCTTCCTTACTTCCAGAAAATAAAACTAGATGTTTTATATCAATTAACTCCAACTCAGCCAAGGGTTGCTTCTGGTTCGTTTTATTGATATGTTAGTATTTAGATGTTATTCTTGTGGAACAACTTTGGTCATTATGGGCTTATTTGGGAGTGTTTATGGAAGAGATAAAAGTGCTTTCTAACAATTAAAAGCGTTTATGATTGCGCTTGAAACACCAATATATTTTTGAGTCTGGAATATTCATAATTTTGAGATACATTTTCATTCCAATCCAATTCTTTTCGGAATTTTTGGACATTGGATTAATTTAGACATGTCAAAGTTGAAAATCTTTGGATCCAAATTGGTGGCAATAGGAATTTCCAATCCAACTTGCACCCTACTCATATCAAGGACAAAGCTCAATAAACATCCAAAAAGAGAACCACACGCATTAGGTAGGACATATATCACACTCAAGCACACAATAAAACCTTCTCTGAATTTTCTTATCCCTGAATCGAAGAAATCTCTCACTTATATCAATTTCATTTCATTATACTCAAACATTCCAATTTCAATAAGAGACAAAGACCTTGACTCGAGTGCATGAAAAACGCCAAAGTCTTTCTTCCCCAAACCGTCTTGCAATTAAGAAAATTCATTGTGAAGACTTTTCACAATATGAAAGAAGATACTGGAAAGACTTTTCAAAGTCTAAAACTTAGTGATGAAGACTTGTGAATTTATTGTGAAGACTTCTTCTTCTTTTTTTGGCTCTTACTTTGTCAACTTATGTTCTTATCTTTTCAAGAATCTTCCATACAATTGTGCGCTAAAATAGCTTCTTTGTTTTTGAGTGACCATACAACCATGTTTATGAGGGGAAAACAAAAGAAGAAATTATTGCCTGTATATATACTGAAACAGAAGATAATTAATCATCAGACAAGGAAAATGATAATTAATTAAAGACCATGTCTAGTTACCACCCAAATCATCAAAGCTGCAAGTCAATTAATTGTGCAGTTAGGACTGGTATAGGGTGTGTCATGAGACATGGACTAGTGGAATCATGGTTCATGAGACATGGACTAATATCAATTTTCTTGAAACACCATGTCAAAAACTTAAAAAATAAACGGCTCCAATCAATGAAGTATAATTTGTAGTATACCACACAAGGTCTCTCAAATAATTCATCAATAAATGATTTTAATGTATCAACACACATTTACACTCTCCCTTGCATGGATGGTGGAGATGAAAGAGATAAACATTATCACTATTGTCTCGGGTTTGTGTCGCGGCTCCTAGATTTTGGGTCCAAGGTCAAATAGATGAAGTAGTGGGATTATATATCCCACCTTTTTGGCAGGATAAGTTATCCTACAAAAATACACATAATGGAAATTATGGCGAGATTATTATTTATCCTATCCACATTCATTATTGAGCACCAAACATGGCATTAGATTAAGCTAATACAATCCTACTACTTATCCTAATTACAAATACACTTTTTTCTAGTGACACACGCATGCACTGACTCAAGTAGCAAGTCAATCAACTGTTTTTGGCCTTTCTCAAGTTCTTATCGGCAGATGGAAAAAGACATATGAGGTAGGTATATATTATATACTCATGTCGTGGTTAGCTAGGGGAAATATAAGGTCTTACCCTTTACTGATTTGTCTCTTCCAAATTTCCAGTCTACGCCGGGTCGTCTTTTCTCTTGTAAAGTCCAGCCAATATAAAAGACATATCAACATCATTTTTCTTTTTCTTTTTGTGTCAATCAACATATCACATTGATAGCACGAGTCAATATCCTACAAGGTCACTGGCTAAGAGAGATGGACATGGACATGTATATATATAGGTATACTAGTGATTTGCCCTCTAAATTTGTACTTAATTTTCAATTAACCCCCTATTATTTTTCTTTTTTTTTTCTCCAATTTCTCCCTTACTGTCTAAATCTT